CCACATACATCGTTAGTGGGATCTCCCTCCAGGCTCCTGGTCACCTGTGGATATATCTAAAGACTGCCGCCCTTTAAAAAAAAAATAAAAAAATTCGGGGAACCGGTAGCACAGGACCATAGGTCCATGAGGGCTACCGGTAGTACAGTTGGGCGAGCTGGCAGAGTGGCAAAAATTCAAAATTTGCATTGAATTACCCCCGCGATTTATTTCGCAGTTGAAATGATTTTTATTAATTATTTTGATATTTTTTCTGTAAAGATCACGACCAAATCTATAGACCCTTAAAGTTTCAGAGTTGTTGGGTCATTCTTCTGATTGCGAAAAATCGCGAAAGTTAGGTTGCTTTTCCAATTGGCCCATACGTGGTAGACTAGCAAAAATAGAAAATGTGACAAAACAGCGCGGCATTTACCTCACCGTTAATTTTTTTTTTAATTTTTCTGATATTGTTCCTGGAAAGATCACAACCTAATCTACAAGATACCAAAGTTTCAAATTTGTTTGCCAATTTTTCGGAGTGTGAAAAATCGTCAAACTTCACGCTTGAAAATGCTTGGCCCGAACCCGCATGCGCGACGTTAGGGTTCGGACACACAGCCACATCATGACGTGCCTGCAGCCTGACATCGGATACACTTCAAAGACAGCAGTCCCCAAAAACAGACAGGGACCCAGTCCACCATAGTGGTTATAGCATCGGGCAATCGGGTATTTCGAAATCTGTGCGTGAGTTCAAACCCCAACCCAACCATTATGCACAAACTTCAAATATTGTATACACTAATACTAATATATGTATATATACTAATACTAACATGTGTGTGTGTATGTGTGTGTGTGTGTGTGTGGGAGGGTGTGGGTGGGTGGGTGTGGGTGTGTGTGGGTGCGGGTGCGGATGGGGGTGGGTGCGGGTGGGTGCGTGCGGGTGGGTGTGGGTGCGGGTGGGTGGGTGCCTGCTGCCGCCGGCCAGGCCTCCTTCCTTTTGTCGTCGCCAACTCAAAAGAAGGGGCAACACGACAGGCGAATACGGAAAAAGCGAAAAATGAGAAAAAGACAGGCCAGACGACAGAAGAATACGACGGGAAAAGCGAAATCAAAGCAATGCGACGAAAAAAGGGGGAACACGAAAGAATATTGCAACGGAATAAGAAAGAAAATAAAAAAGGAACCAACAGACGACGGCAAAAGGAAAAAGAAAAAAAAAAAAAAAACTGGAAATAAATAAAAAAAAAAAGGGGCGACGACTATCCAACGACGGGCGCTTCGAGATATTCCCTCGCATCAACGTCCGCCGCCGCCTGGCCCGATGGGCGCGCTCACTCGTTTTTTGGTGCGCTGGGAACAATTCGGTACGCGCGCTGCTCTGCACGCCGCCCCTCCCTCGATCGCCTTAATCCGCTGGCCCGAATCAAAACTTCGGCCCGATTCCGACGCGCAGCGGACACCTCCCCTCATGGGCCGCTCGCGCTTAAGGGATAGGATATATATATATATATATACAGGGTTACCTGACCGAACGTTCGGGGGCCCCCGGGCTGGCCCCCGAACGTTCGGGCGTTCATGGTCCCGTTCGGGGGCCGAACACCTCCAGGTTCGGCTCTCGCCAAATTTTATTTCGGGGCCGAAAAATAGGTTTTTTTTTCAGAAGTTTTTTTTTTTGTGAGTTCTCTATGATGTAACCTACACGTCTATAAATTTTAAAGCCATTCTGCTAAGCCAAAAAAACATTAAAAATCGTTAGAGATAGGGGTGTCAAAACGTGCTCGCCTACTCACTATTTTGTTTTTTTTCACTTTTAACTTTTTGTTTTCACCTTATTTCGGGGCCTAAACAATTTTATTATTTTTTGAATTTTTTTTATGAGTTATTGATTATATAGACTACATATCTGTAAATTTTCAGGGCATTTGACAATGCAAAAACATAATTAAAAATCAGCAAAGATGGCGGTGTCAAAAAGGTGCTGGCACACTCACTCATTTTAATTCTCCTTTTTTTTTTTCTTATTTTTATCAAATTGTTTATTTTCTGTATTTGATTTTTAATACAAATTTGGTAAAGAATTTGGATATAGTGCCTGAGCAAATGTTGTTAAGTTTATTTGTCTCTATAACATATGTTTTTTTTGGAATTTTTTGAAAACTTTTTTTGTTTTTTTGTTTTCTGTTTTTTTTAGTCCGCGTTTGGCCCGAACGGCCGAACGCCTTCTGATGGGGTCCCGTACGTTCGGGCGTTCAGCCCGTCCCGAATGCTGGCAACCCTGTATATATATATATATATACAAGGTAACCGGCGTTCGGCCGTTCGAGCCAAGCCGTGACCTAAAAAGAAAAAAGAAACACAAAACAAAATAATTTTAAAGACTCTGATAAAAAAAAAGGTATGTTATGAAGAAAAATAAAATAAACAACATTTGCCTGCGCATTACATTCAAATTCCTTACCAAATTTGAAATAAAAATCAAATACAGAAAATAAAACTTATAATAAATTAATTTTAAAAAAAATCGAAAGAGAATTAAAATTAGTGAGTGATCGAGTGCGTTTTCGACACCGCCATCTTTGGCGATTTTTCTTTTTTTCTGTCACAGCTTATGCCTTGAAAATTTACAGATGTGTACTTCACATAACAGAAAACCCAATAAAAAACTTTCAAAAAATACTAAAATTGGCTAAGTTCTGCAATAAAGTGAAAAAAAATAAGTACAAACTGAAAAGAAACAAAATTATAGTAAGTGGGCGATCACGTTTTGATATCGCCATCTTTGGCGATTTTTTATTTTTGTTTGGCTAAGCAAAATGACTTTAAAATTTATAGTCACATCATAGAGAACTCAAAGAAACAAAACCAGAAAAAATATATATTTTTAGGCCTCGAAATATTTTTTGCCTGGGGTCGAATGCCATTCGGTTCGAACCCCCAATAGAGCCCGAACGCACGTAAGTACAGAGGCCGGTCCGGGGAACTCCGTACGTACGCGCTAGTGACCGTGTATATATATATATATATTGTCACAAACATAACTACGCGGTAAACCGTAGGCAGAGAGAGAGAAGAGGACAACAAACGAGGGGCTGTGTAATTGATAATCTACCTTAAGTAGACTATCACTCACCCACACCAGATGGAAAACTTTTTATATAAATATATATATATAAATCTACGTAGCACCATGTTCGCGTTCGGAGGCGAACGCGAACAAGCGCCCAAAATCCTTCGAACGCGAACATAAAAAATATTTATAAAAAAAAAACAACAAAGTTTTCCAAAAGATCTGTAAAAACTATATGTTATGTAAGACAATAATACAAGCAACATTTGCCTTGGAGTCATGTTCAAATTCGTAGCCAATCATGAGTTCAAAATAAAAAACCCAATAAAAATCATTTATTTTTTTATTTTTTTTTTACGAAAAAAATAACGTTCGCCCGGACATGTTCGTGACCTGTTCGCACGAACGCGCGAACACGTTCGCCGTGCTACGCAGATATAATAAGATATATATGAATATATATATATATATATATATAAATGTATATATATACAGGGTAACCAGCGTTCGGGACGGGCCGAACGCCCGAAAGTATGGGACCCCTTGGGGATGCGTTCAGCCATTCGGGCCGAACGCGGACCCAAAAAAAAAAAAAAAAAAAAAAAAA